GGCGTAACAGCCACATCAAGTGCTAATTCTTGCTATCCAGGCAGTCAGTATGTATTTCATCCTCCTACGACGTTTGCCAGGTAAATACTTTGTATTAGCTGGGTGGCACATAACGTGCTAGTTTGTAATTACCATCCCCCACCTCCAAAGACTGTGAGAAGTCAGAATATAACAAGAGCACATGTCATCAGAGAGAAAGAGGGCAAGGAAATAAGGTAATAGAAAAGTGAAAGGGTTGGAAACCTTGCCATAGGTAGCTGGAGGTGTTTACATGAGAGGAGTGAGAGTGAGGACTGGGGAGACTGGACATGAGCCATTAGTGTGGGTAGCAGGCATGTTTGGTCATGGTTCTGCTTCCCGTGAAGATGTTTTGCGTGTGTTGGTATACACTTATAGCTGCTCAGTGCATATTATCTCCTTGAGGCATAAGGGAGGGGATGAGAAGTGGTATAGCATAATCACTGAACATCTGGCATTCCACAGTAGATGCTATTCAGCTCCCAGAACTGAGTCAGGACTTTGTTTGGTACATCAGAGGACTTTTAGGCAATGCTGACATGATAGGTGAATGCAGCATGTGGTTATGCAAGTGGGTGGTCAATAAATGGAGAAGGATTAGGGAATTAGCTGATACAGAGTTTAGGACTCTAGGATTTTGCACCATGCAAGGATGAATGTGAGCCACTAATGCTAAATTAAAGTAATTTGAATTGTGTCCTCTAGACATAATGGCTGAGATCCCTCAAGTACTGAATGGTGTCTTCTGAAGTGCAGAGTTTCATCAAATCTCTGCTGACTTCGTTGGGAGCTGAGAGCAACAAACTGCTCTCTGGTTTGAGCCCTTCTTAAGCACCACAGTTTCTTGGACTGTTGCACCTTTGTCAAGGATTTTAAAGACATAATAATATATTAGTGAAAACGTACACAGTGAAATTACTTTGTTTCTTTTATTTTTGTTATAGCTTGATTCCTTTTCAGGGGAAAAGTATTATACTCGTTGAGCCTGATTTTGAACTTGCTTATGCTAATGCAAAAAGGATGAGAGTGATGCCTTTGGAAGTAATTAATTTGCTTTGTGAGTAAGCAAATGTCATAATTCCAGTCCTTATTTTTTATAAAATCTATTTGGCATGAAGTAAAGGTTGAGTTCCTTCCATTTTTTTCTTCCTATAGCATTTAAATAAAATTAGATCACATATGTATTTTAAGCTTATGTTCATATTTGCTTTAGATACTCACTCTCCTTTTTGCAGCACAAATTTCAGTATAACTAGGACCATACACACAAACCTGGAAACCTAACTTTCCTGCATAGTCAAAGATACCTTTATTGGATATGTTGGAGCACTTATTTTGGGTAGTAGTTAGGTTTCTCACTTCGGCATCCAAATCACTTTCTGAACTTCTTATCTGTAAAAGGAAAGTAAGAGCACTGTCCAATTTCCCTGACAGATAGGGAGTTAAGTAATTTAAAAAAATAGTGGTGATGCAGGTAACAAAACCAAATAGGTAATCTTTCTTTTTCAATTTCTGCTCGTATAACAGAACTTAGGACCAAGAATTTTGTTGTATCATTTTATACCTTGTAACTTAGTGACCTTATGGACTTCAGGCTTCAACAGAAAAAAAAAAAAAAAAAAATTATATTTGCATTATTTCATTTGTACTGGCATCTAGAGGGCTGTACCCGAATATATTTTATACTGTATCAGTATACAACACAGCCAATGTTTGCCCTAAAGGCTTGATATTCCAATATATAAACCAGAGAAAATCAAGTGAACACAGGAAACAGATGGAGAATTACAAATTGGTAGCAAGATTAATGACCTAAATTTAAAAAAAATAAATCCTAAATATGCTTTGCTTTTTGAAGTAATTATCTCCATTTTTAAATAACATTTTCAATCAGTTGTCACAAATACAGGAATTTTACAACTGAATATCTCAAAATAATGCAAATGTTGACATTCATTTCAGGAAGAGCAGGATTTTACTTATTTTTTAAGCAAAATGCACACATGTTTTTATATTCTGTTAAAACTGAATTTTGATTGGGATATAATGTTTTCTGTGACATCTTAGTATAAAATACATTGTGTATATTGTCTATTTTTTTTAATACATGTATATTTTTAAAAGATGTCCTCTATGTTAATAGGTGAAACAGTCACCTTGGCAGGGTTTGTACTTGAAAGGATGTTAGTGGTGTATTTCTATACTAAAACAGTTTAAGAGCGTTGTCACTTAAAACCCACAATGTGATGTTTCTAAAATAGATTTTAGAGAGGTTATTTTTATTTATCTGAGAAGCAGTCAAACATATAACATATTACTCCAGCAAATCCAAGATTTTCCAGAATGCATCATAATTTGTATGTTGTTTGTATGTCTAAGTACAAAAACATTCTGGACAAGGTGGGAGTGGATGGGTATGGAGGAGATCATTCTTTATCTTTCTTCTGACTAGACAGATAATGTTGTCGAACAACCAGAGCTATTAGTGGTGAACCAAATGAACTTTTGTGATGTCAAGTGAAAAAAGTAGTAGTTTCTTACTGAGAAAATCTTTCATTCTTAATTTTGTGGCTGAATTAAACCATTATTTTATGGTTTATGGTTACATTTTTATCCTTTAGAGTAATCCTAGCCATATTACAGTAACCTGGATTTTCATATGTTGCACGTGTAGCTATGATATTACTTGTGCTACAATGCTGCCCTCAATTTAAATATTCTGGTTACTTCTACAATCACGTACATGGTTATGAGAATGTATTTTCATACCTTCTTATGTTCTTAGGTTCTTCTCTTAAACTTACATAAGCGCTTATGCCTAACTTGGTCAGAACTGTGCATGTTGGTTATGAAACCAAGCAGGATCTGGCAAATCACAGTTGTCAAAATCTCTCAAAGAAGCTGTTAGTATGTTCTAAATCAGTGGATGCAGGTAAAGACTTGCTATAGCATGTGGCACAATAACATAATCATGAAAGCTGTGCCATGCAGTAAAAGATTTGCACTTTTATTGAGTTTTTCTGGGTGATTCTGGTTTTATACAACTTTGCATTTTTGGAGTGTTAATTAAAAAAAAAAGGCAACAAACCAAACAAATGAACCCCCTTCCCCCTTAAGTATGTATTTAACAAAAATCTGAACATTCCTTATATTTACCAATTAGTTAATACATTTTGTATCTAGATCCCAAGTACCAATTCAAACCTAAGAATTGTTTCCATCTTTTTCTAATAGGAAAACTAAAAAAGGGCACCTCAAAATTGTCAAATAGTTTGAACTATATTTTAAAATTATTATGGTGTGTCCTGAATTAAAAATGAGTGTCTCTATATATAAAAATATTTCAATGTATGTGTGTTTATACACAAATATATATGTATATACACATACTGAGATAATTTGTGGTTTTATAGGATTATTTAGTATATGGGTGGGCTAAATGTTTTATTCAATATCATACTTTTATGTTACCTTGAGAGTAAGTCAGCAACTAATATATTTTTATTTATTGCATAGAATATCTTTTGTTTTGATGACAGTGAACTTGAAATTTTAAAGAAGTTAAAAATTCTATATATGCTGTAAAATAATCCAGTGCAAAATACAATATGGTATGTTACAATTTTTAATATGCATATTGTATAAATGGAAAATATAAATGTTTCTTAACTTTATAGTATGCTGGATTTTCAAAGATTTGATGTTGATGCTATCATAACAACTGGAAATACCTAAAATGGGTAAGGCTAGAAAGAGCTTATAAATAAAGGCATGCATTTTTATTTGTAATTAGCTTGACTTTATAATAAGCTTGAGTTTATAATGAGGCAGTAACATGAGAATGTTGCTAATAAAATTTTAATTGTATTTTGTATTGACCTGCTGCTGAGATTGTAGATAGTATTTTGGTGAAAGGATTGACAAATTGAGAAGTGTTACCCTACATATATGCTCCACAAAACCTGGATAAATGGCTATCAGTAGGCTACTAAAACTGTATTTTTGTAAGATAAAACATCACATTAATTCAATATCATGAAACAGATGGTACATTAAAACTTTAATACACATTTGTAAAATGTATATCAAAATGAAAAGCTAAGAAAAATATGTATAAATATTGAATTTTTATCTTGGGTGTCATTCTTCACTCATAGCAGCAAGCCAAGAAGGAATAAATTTGTTGACATTAATGAGGTTGTATCAGTCTGAAACTTGTTTAAACAGGAGGAAAGGTAGGATTTATAGGCAAATACCTTTCATTTGAAGACATTATGATAAACTTTTTATGATGTACAAATGCCATATTTTATTCTTTCAAAATCTTCAGCATTTAGATACTCTCTCCTGCTGCACTTCATTGCCATGGGCTGAACAGTAATACACTGTAGCACATAATGAATTTCTGTATGCTGATGTGGGTGACAGGTTGAACAATCAAGATCACGTCCTGTTCAAGACCAACTATTTTATCTGTTGATGCTATGCCATATTTGCTTTAGCCGAGTGGGTTTTTTAAATTATTTTTACTGTAGATGTTTTAAGGGAAGGTAAAGAATTTCAGACACGTTTTGTCTAAGAAGTTGGTTTGCTACATTAGCCTGGGAAGAGGAATCAGATGAAAACACTCACTTTGATACAATCTAAGACAGCCTTTCCATGCGAGCATAATACCTGCATTTGCTTAATCTTTTGGTCTGTGATGTATTATGCTGAAAGCAGTGTATTCTGTGGGAGAATGATAAATATGATTTTCCTGTTTTTATCTTTAAATCTTTGTATTGTACATTTGAAACAGATGCAGAGCATTAAAAAGCGTGATGAGCTGTATTGCTTTTTAATACTTTTTTAACCTTTTCTTTTAAAAACATGGTAACTAACTTGCTTCATTCTTTTCCTTCCTTTTATAGGGTAGCAAAATATTATAGTGTTTATGCACAAAGCAGAAGTATTATTTATATATATTTTTTTTAATTACAGGT